ACCTTGCTGGGATCTACCAATTAGAGGGTTTCCTAGTATTGTTTTGTCTGTTCTTTAAAGTAACTTCTGAGTTATCTTGTTTGGCAGGGTTTATTTTGTACATTATTTTATTAGGATGAGTTTGTAAATTAGATTAATATTATTCTTGTTTTTGTTTAGACTTTGTCTTTGTTTTGTTGTTACCTGTTTGATTGTGGCTTGGCCCAATTATGTGCAGCTGTGTTGCCAATTGGCTTTAAAAGGAAAAAACAGTGTTTGTGGGAAAAAAGAGCAGATGTTTGTCATAGGAGGAAAAAAATAAAATAAAATTCTTCAGAAAAACATGGGAACCTGGTGATTTATGCAGCTTGTTTCGCTCACTTTGAAGACCCTAGACCACACTATCTTACAGTGGTGGCGTACCATTTATGCTGCTACAATCAATAAAGTCAAAGAGATCCACTTTACTCCTTTGAGTGCTGCAGCATGAGGGTCATCATCACATGAATGTACATACCAGCCATGTTTGTAGTCTGACATCTGTAAATACTTTGAGGTTGATTTAGATATAAAGTCTCAGAATGTTTAACACCTCAGGGAGGTTTCTGGAAAGAGAACATTCAAGGTTGTGATTTAAAGTACAATAAACAGAAACCTCTGTGTTGCCAATTGGCTGTATTACATCTACAGTTTTGGTCATATAACCGCTCTGAGGGGTGATGTGCACATGGCTCGTTGGTCTAGGAGTATGATTCTCGCTTTGGGTGTGAGAGGTCCCAGGTTCAAATCCTGGACGTGCCCCTAAGCTCACAAACTTATGTATGCACTTTTCTCCTCGACATTAGAATAGTGAACAAAACTGTTACAATGCTGAGAGAACCATCTGGAACTGTCCATGACTCTCCTCCATGTCAGAGATCTGCATTTATATCATCAAACCATCTTTCTGAAAAGGATGGGATTCAAACACGTTTAGAGCACAATGTTTTGGTTATGGTTATACGACCAATAAAGAGAAACCTCCTTGTTGACAATTGGCTGTAGTACATCTACAGTTTTGGTCGTATAACCGCTGTGAGAACAGAAATATCTCAACAGCCATTGTTGTGATCCAGCCCCCAATGTGACACTGATGTTGAACAATGACATAGTATCAGCAAACAATCTTAACTTAATGTGGAATGAAGTGGGATTGTGACAATGGGTGCTGTAAGGGGCGAGTGTTTCTGGGTTATGGGCCCAGTTATCTCAATTATCTCTGTGTCAAAAGTTCTGTGGAGCTAAGCTGCAGCTGAGCTGGAAGACCGTGCTACCTAGAGTGCTGTTCTCCTCAAACCAGGAAGCATAGTACAGTCAGTATATTGGTTCTGGTACCAAGAGGGTGAAGTCTGCTAACAGCACTTTAACCAGCACATTGGTTCTGACAACTAATGATGTGTCACTTCGCATCAAGGCTTCGAAGAATGTGTCGAGTCATCCAGGATGATTTCTGTAAAGCGCGTATCGAGGCTTGTGTCGGTGATGTGAGTGGTGACGTTTGAAAACTTGCGAGCCAGCCGTACCACGTCACTGATTCAGGAAGTGGTTCATGGTTTGGCGGTCTATTTGACATGTAAGGGTCAGCAAATTGCAATGGATCCCCCTCCACATTTTGTGAAATTGGGACTTAATTACGAGTTTGTTAGTGATCTATTCAAGATGCCCAGTCATTGTATCATAAAGACAGACACCATATAAAAGTTTATAATTTATGTATGAGCATCACAACGCTTATTCAATGCTTCTGACACCAAAGTCATGTGGTCACTTCAATGCTTTATGAAGCTTCATCTCGCCATCACTAGGCCTAACGGCAGGATGGGTGACTACATGTCTTATAAGATATACACAAAATCAACCAACAGCAAAACTGTTTCTAGAAAAATATGATTGTTAAGAAAGCTAATCAACAAGCAGCAGATGGGAGAAAAGAGCAAGAAATGACATCAAAGAAAGATGACCAAGTACACCCAAAATCAGTTTAGAGTCACCAATTAAATTATCAAAGTCCACACACAGGGGCGTCTAGCTGGGATCCTTATTGTGAGGAAAGCACACACATTTGACACATTATTAGGGCTCTATGAAAACAAAACATCCTTTGTGACATAACACACAGGAATCAACTACTCAGTGGCCCAGAGTTATCCACAGATATAGCCTCAGATTAATGGTGTCCACTCACTTTTTGTGTAGATTCTGCTCTCCAGTGTTCAGGGTGTGGAAATGCGTTTTCGGATTCAAGAGTTTGACAGGCGCTCATATCTACTTTATTCTGAGCAGTTAAACAGTTGTCAATGTGGAGGATTACAGCTAAGAAAACAATGTATTTTTCTTTGTTTTTTTCCACTGAGCTCTCTCTTTAGGGGATTCTTACGCTTTACTGAGGTGGCTGAAATATTCCTTTGAGAAGAGATGGACGACCATTTATTTATCTGCTGTTGATGTGACTGAAATGATAAAAAAAGATTAGTTGTGAGGTAAAAGATTCAGCTTTTATTTTTTTGTCATATTTCTTCATTTGTGTTTCTGTTATTTTGCCTCAATTTCATGTCATGAAAATGTTTATGTCTTTAAGGAAAAAGTGATACTTATGATCCATCAGGTCAAAGTGAGTTAAGGGGAAACCTTCGACTTAAAGGAGGCTCCTGAAAGCTTCATCCGACAGCACAGATTGTATACGAGGACTGGTCTGATGGTCTGATCTCTGAGGCCATAGATGAGTGCACTCAGACATCTAGGAAGAATAATTAATGACACAAAAAACACATTCTGGATGCGCAAAAGCACACCTATGAAAACAAGCCTTGAAACAGCATATAGCAGTGGGTTGTGAATGGTTGAAGAGATGCTGAAGCCCAGCTGTAGCAGATGCATCAGCAAAGTGTTACGGGCCTTAAGAGCTGAAGCTTTGTCAGTGGAGGCCGACCTGGCTGCTAGAATTACAACAACATAGGTGGAGCTGATGGCAAGAGCAGAAGAAACAAACAGAAAATAGGTGTAAGCTCTGTCATAGTCAGAATATAGAGGTGTTAGAACCATGACAACAGTGTTACAGAAAGTGTTCATCTGAAGAGTTTCTAGCTCCTCAAAGGGAAATTCTAACAGCAAAACTATCTGAATGAGGACATTTACCAGACAAATGGCCCAAACCAGCATTACAGCCACTGCTGTGTTTCTGATGGTGACGATGGCAGCGTGCCTCAGAGGGTAGCACACTGCCACACATCTTTCCAATGACATCACCACCAGCACCAGAGGAGACACCGGGTTTGTGAGGTTACCCAGCATGCAGAGGAGGCCACACACAGGATACGTCAGAAATATCCTGCCGATAGACAGTATGTACTGTAACTGACTCAGAGCCAGTTGGACGGTGTCTGCAAACAGGAGGTTATACAGGAGAACGTAGCGGCAGGTTTCCCTGAACACTGGTTTGCTCCTCAGAGTGTACAACATGGTCCCGTTAATGAAGAGGAACACACAGCATGTGGCTGTAGTCAAGGTGGTGTACATCACTCTCTCCAGAAACACCAGTCCAACAGCTGTGCTGTTCTGAGGCTGAGCAGCAGGGGACATCACTCACGAAGCATACAGGGATTGAGGAGTCAGAAGCACCACAGACAGCACAGCAGCACTACATGCTGACCTCCTCTGCTCTGGAAGCACGGCCAATCTTCTGTATCTAGATATGAATTCCTGTTTGACTGTTGGTGTATCAGAGGACAAAAAGGCTGCTCTTGTTTGCCTGCTGTCTCATTTCACTCATTAGCTTCCTAATTCTTTACGTCAATGCGATGCATCACTAACAGCTTTAAAAAGCTCAACTTGAAGCATCCTTTAACTGGTTGTTAATGGACTTAACATCGCAGTAATAATTTCCTGAAATTGGAATAAAGCTGTGAAAAAGTGAACATGTACAATCTCAAGTTGTTGTTCTAACATAACATAAAAGCACAGATGATTTAGAATTGAGTTAGAATATGCAGAACAATTTCAAGGCAATATAACTGAAAATGATACAACAACTGTTCACCTCTGAAGACACTTCTCAATCAGGTCTGGACTCTTTGTCTGCAAAGCTGCTCTGGTTGCATTACTTGGCCAAAGACCATTTATGAGCTTCTGGTGTCCTGCTCACAAGATGTTAACATGGTTACAGGGTCACTGATGGGTTGTGAAACCTCTCCTCCAGTCAGCGACAGAATCATCTGCATGACTAAAACATGCATGAATAAACAAATATGATGACATAAGATGTATTTGAAATTTTGTAATCTTGACACTTATTGATAAAAAACTAAATCCAGTCGTCATAACCAGCCACAACCAACTTTTTAAACCTCATTTTGCTATGCTTAAATGCTATTGGTGTGTGTAAAACCTAAAACAGGCCAGGATCCATTAATTGAAGTCCAGACCGATAAGCATTTTTGTCTGTAATGCCGCAGGGTTTTCCACTGGATTTCCACAGTGGGCGTGGTGGTCAGGATGGTTCCTGGTTCAAATCCACAGCGGTGGGGACATTTTGTGCGGAGTCTAAATGCTCCCCTGTGTTTGGGTAGTTCCTTCCAGGAACTTCAGTTTCCTCCCACCATTCAAAAATATGCATGGTAGTTTATTGACTACAAATAAATAGTTATTGTTGACTACAAATAAATAGAGAGAGATAAACAATCAGCTGGTAGATGTGCTCACCCATCTAGGTAAACCTTTTCCTGCACCTCATCTTGAGAGAAAAAATAAAATCAACTTCTTCCTGCCATTAAACTATTGAAGACAGTCTGCAAACAGGTGAAAGAATTATTCTCAGGATCCACTTCCTTGATCTGAGTCTGGCCTTAAAGGCCAGAGGCCACATCACTTTGCCATCTAGACAATTCTGTTAGGTTTGATCACCGGCTCGCAGAGCTTCTCGTTTCACTTCTACACAGATGATCAGGGCTGGGTGTCAATCAAAGGTTTTCAATACCTATACAGATACCTTCATTTTGGTACTGAAACCTTCACTTCAACACAGATACCTTGACTTTGATATCTGTCAGCAGCAGCCTGTCACATCATATATTCCATTTCTGTAGCTGGTACCTTCACTTTGATACCAATACCGGTACCTTCACTTCGAGGCCGATACCTTCACTTCGATTTTGATACTGATACCTTCACTTCGATACTGATACCTTCATTTCGATACTGATACCTTCATTTCAATACCGGTACCTTCACTTCGATACCAAAACCTTCACTTTGATACCGATACCAACACAGATACCTTCACTTTGATATCAGTCAGCAGCAGCCTGTCACATCATGCATTCCATTTCTGTAGCTGATGGGGAAAAAGTCCAAAGAAAACACAGTTTGACAGACAGGAAACAGGATTTCTTAGGATTCGCAAAGAGCTGCTGGCTGAAAACTGGGCAGATCTCAGCCTGGGGTTCAGTCCTTAAAACGTATGCGTAAGCGTAGCGGTAAGCGTATCGACCCATTTCCGTTTCCGGTGTTAGCGGTGTTTGTGTGGTGGTAGCGCTTTTTTCTCTGCTCTCGCTAACTACCATATAACGTAATTATATTTCAGTAAGTTTGCCTAAGCACCAATAGTTCTTTCCATCCTGGGTGACTGCTGTTCTGTCTTATAGCGGATGTAACAAAAGTTCCGGTGGCTCTACCGTACTTTTGTTTAGCCGTTAGCGACTTTAACAGCTAGTGATGGCTTCTCCCTCTCACTCTCCTGCTCTTTCTTGCTCGGTGTGTCTGATGTTTAGTTACTCCTCTGCCTCCTTTAACGGTAGTGGTATGTGTAACAAGTGTAGTTTATTTCTAGACATGGAGGCGAGGCTCAGTGCGTTAGAAGCTCGGCTCCGCACCGTAGTAGAGCAGCCCTTAGCTAGGCTAGCTAAGTGTAGCCAGTCCCAGGTAGTCGGTGCGGACCGACCTGAGTTAGCTGATAGCCGTCCCCCCCCCTCCCCCCCTCCGGCCTCTCCTGAGCAGCCAGGAAAAGGAAGCTGGGTGGCTGTCCGAGGGAGGAATAGCCGTAAAAAGTCTAAGCACCTAGTGTCCCATCAATCTGTTCGAGTAGCTAACAGATTTTCCCCACTCAGCGAGCCACCCGCTGAGAAGCCTACCCTAGTCATAGGTAGCTCGATTCTGAGGAATGTGAAGCTGAACACCCCAGGGAGTGTAGTTAAGTGTATTCCTGGGGCCAGAGCGGGCGACATTGAGTCTTATTTGAAACTTCTGGCTAAGGGTAGACGTAGATACAGTAAGATTGTTATCCACGTAGGCGTTAATGACTCCCGGTTACGTCAGTCAGAAGTCACTAAGTTAAATGTGGAGTCAGTTTGTAGATATGCTAGAACAATGTCGGACACCGTAGTTTTCTCTGGCCCCTTGCCCAACCTGGTTAGTGATGACATGTTTAGCCGCATGTCATCTTTCCGTCGATGGCTGGCGAGGTGGTGCCCAGCCAATGAGGTGGTCTTTGTGGATCACTGGCAGTTTTTCTGGGGAAGACGTGGCCTGATTAGGAGAGACGGCATCCATCCCACGGGGGAGGGAGCCGCTCTCATTTCTAGAAACCTAGCCAACATTGTTAGCAGACTAGATCGGTGACAGTCCAGGGTTGAGAGGAGGAAGCGGAGTTGTAATGTAACCCTCTTCTCTGCTCCTCCATTCCAGGAGTTATTTAGTGAAAAACCTATAGAGACGGTGTCTGTCCCCCGGTCATTTAAATTTTTAAAATTAAGGGTAAACAGAGGAGTTGTCTATAGAAACCTCATAAAAGTTAAAACCACAAGAGAAATAGTGCATGCAAATAAGAGAGTAAAATGTGGACTCTTGAATATCAGATCTCTCTCTTCTAAAGGTGTGCTTGTAAATGAACTCATATCAGATTATAAGATTGATTTATTTTGTCTTACTGAAACCTGGCTGGGTGATGGAGAATATGTGAGCCTAAATGAATCCACCCCTCCCAGTCACAGGAATACTCACATTCCTCGAAGCACAGGTCGAGGAGGTGGAGTTGCAGCTATCTTTGACTCCAGTCTTGTAATCAGCTCTAAAGCTAAATTGAACTATAACTCTTTTGAAAGCCTTGTTCTGAGTCTTTCCCACCCAAGCTGGAAATCACTGCAACCTATTCTATTTATTATAGTGTACCGACCACCCGGTCCATACTCTGAATTCTTATCTGAATTTGCAGAGTTTTTGTCAACTTTAGTCCTTAAAACGGACAAAGTAATTATTGTAGGGGACTTTAATATCCATGTGGATGTTGAGAATGACAGCCTCAGTACTGCATTTATCTCTCTGTTAGATTCCATTGGCTTCTCTCAGAGTATTCATGAACCGACTCACTGTTTTAACCACACCCTTGATCTTGTTCTGGTGTATGGTATTGAAATTGAACATTTAATAGTGTTCCCACATAATCCGTCTTTATCTGACCACTGTTTGCTAACTTTTGAGCTTTTACTGCTGAATTACCCTCCACTGGGTAAAAATGTCTACTCAAGATGCCTGTCTGATAGTGCTATAGCTAAATTTAAGGATGTGATTCCATCAGCTCTACATCCATTATCAAGTCGTACAGAAACAGAGGACTCTTATGTTAATTTCAGTCCTTCCCAAGTTGATCATCTTGTTGATAGTGTTGAAGGCTCGCTGCGAACAGCTCTTAACGCTGTAGCCCCCCTAAAGAAGAAAATTCTTAAACAAAGACGGTTAGCTCCATGGTATACTAGTGAAACCCGCAAATTAAAGCAGATATCTCGGAAACTTGAGAAGAACTGGCGTTCAACCAAGCTGGAAAAGTCTCGTTTATCTTGGCAAGATAGTCTTAAAGCTTATAGGAAGGCCCTCCGTGATGCCAAAGCAGCATATTACTCGTCTTTAATTGAGGAAAATAGGAACAATCCCAGGTTTCTTTTCAGCACTGTTGCCAGGCTGACTGAGAGCCACAGCTCTATTGAATCAAGTATTCCAATAGCTCTCACTAGCCATGACTTCATGAGCTTCTTTAACGATAAAATTCTAGCTATCAGGAACAAAATCCACCAAGACTTGCCCTCAACTAGCATCGACTTATCTTTAAACTCAGTAACTGTAGGACCAGAACCAGTTATATGTTTTGACTGTTTTGCTTCCCTCAATCTTTGTCAACTAACTTCAATAATTTCCCTCTGGGATTATTAAAGTATTTCTGATTCTGATTCTGATTCTGATTCTGATTCAACTTGCCTCTTGGATCCCATCCCGACTAGGTTGCTTAAAGAAGTCCTACCCTTAGTCGGTACTTCTCTGCTAGACGTGATCAATCTGTCCTTATTAACAGGCTATGTGCCACAGTACTTTAAAGTTGCTGTAATTAAGCCTCTTTTGAAAAAGCCTAACCTGGACCCAGATGTTTTAGCCAACTATAGACCTATATCCAACATTCCATTCATCTCCAAGGTCCTGGAGAAAGCAGTAGCCAAACAGCTGTGTGACTATCTACATAGCAATAGCTTGTTTGAGGATTTTCAGTCAGGATTTAGAGCTCACCATAGCACAGAGACCGCACTGGTGAAAATTACTAA